GATATACTTATTTAATGAACTATTGCTTATTAAAAAACAAGCAGTATATCTGAACAAGTCGGCTTTTGTTTAAACTGAACAGTCAAGAGGGCGGAGTTACTTTAAAAAGCTCGAAAAAAATCTCAAACTCCGCAATGTTGAAATGCAAAGTGTCTAATAAAATAGTATTTCGAAAAATTACAATTTCGAAAGTAAAATCGCGCACGATGTTCTCTCATTGTATTAACACTTTGCTAGGTTCACATAATCATTCCTAGCAAACCAGAATTTTTCATTTGGTTTTTGTTTGTCCGCTTTTGAGGGTGTGAATATATGAAGAGGCTATCCAAACCCATATTCATACATCTATACGCTCAAATGCTACATTCACACCCGTTCTTTATGGATGGTTCCGTAGGGTATTAGCATATTGCTCGAAGACAGTTCACTTCTGATTGATTGATAAGTTGAATGGTCAGTAGTTGAGAAGAGATGAACCGATCTTATGAACTTAACGAATACTAAACTTAATACTATTGAGTTTCCTTTTATAGGAATATATCAAAATAAATGTCTATACAACGAATCGTTGAAAAATATGTTTCTTCATATTTCGAAAAAAAGTTAAACTTCTATATTGCGATAAAAGTTGATTATTTTGAAGGATTCTTTTGAAGTTTGCTCGTATAAATAGAAACTCGGTTTATGATCTCTTTCGTTTAAAAAACAAATAGTAAAGATATATGAAAAAAATTTTTGTGACACACTTTATGTAAGTAATAATCTGAGATTAGTAATAAAAATAGATTATTCTTTTCTATATACTATAATAGAAAGAATATATAAACAGTTAAATTTATATTGCTTCTATCTGTATGCTCATGTCAAACAACGATAGTAATAGGATTTAAACATCTACTCAGAGAATTATTTATTGATGATTTAGGTTTTGTGTCAATGTTCTTTTGCTTTCATTTACTAATGACCATGTTAGCAGTCAAAGTGAATCAGAATAAGGAAAATCAGTTTTTTTCTAAAGTATTAAAAAAGAATATTTTATCTGGAATAAAAATGACAGAATTTTAGTAATGAGTGCATTTCTTTTATTCCTGGACAAGTTTATCTTCTCTTTAAAACTTCATACATTCTCATATGTGATTCATTGAACGGAAGGAAGATAATTATTTTTCTATCTGAATATAATACATGAAAGAATTCAACAGTAAAAAAAAACGATGATCAGACAATCATCTGAAAACATTGTGAATATCAGATGAAGGTAATAATAATATGAGCATCTGTTCAGTTTCAATGTCAAAGGGTTTAAACATGCAAGTTGAATAGTTAGTTACAATTAATGAGCCATGTCGTGGAAATATACGAAAATAATAAGATAAGAAATTTTAGAGATAGGAAGGAAGCAAGAACTACAGGGATTTCTTTTTTTTTTGGACTTACTTATTAATAGCATATATTGAATTTAAACTATATCAAAAGAGAATCATAGTTCTGAAAAATCATTTATTCACTTACCTTACATGTCGTTTTTGTCCTTAGCCTGATTCTTTTCGTTTCATGATAAAATATATAACAAAGATTTATTGAAAATTTCCGAAACAATAAATTCTTAAAGTTGTTAGTAGTAGGAAACAGTCATTATTTTTTGTCATAAGAATACATTACAATGTCGACTATTTTATTTTGATCTAAATTGATTATTAATGTATTTAGAAACTAAATATGAATACAAGTATTAGTATCGATTTAAGCGATCAATTAATAATTGATACTTTGAAATCATTACAAAAACAATTGACTTATACTATATTAATATTTCTTTTTATTATTGGAAATATTGGATGTATATTGAATACAATAATCTTTCTTCGTCCTTGTCTAAATTCATCTTCAAGTTCTCGTTATTTTCTTGCATCATCATTCGCTAATGGACTCCTATTGCATATTGGCCTTGCTACTCATATTCTTGATGTTGGTTTTTCTATTCATCCTTACCATAATTTATCTATTCTATGTAAACTTCGTAATTATTTAATTAATATTGGTGGTTTTCTATCTCAAACATATCTTCTCTTAGCTTGTATTGATCGTTATTTAATAAGTTTAAATAAATCTCGTTATCGTTCAATAAATACAATACCAATGGCAAATCGTATCATATTATTTTCAGCCTGTTTTTGGTTAACTATTCTTTCTCATATGCTTATATTTAGTAGTATTTCTCCACGTCATCATTTCTGTTTTTTTTCAAGTTTATCTTATAGCTTTTTTATTTCATTACATAATTTAATTCTATCAGGATTTATTTTACCAATTTTAATGGTATTTTTTGGTTTGTTAACATTAAAAAATATTCAACGAATTCGACGACAAGCACGTTCTTGTCGACGTCGTCAACGTCGTTATCATTATTTAAGTCTTATGCTTATTAGTAATGTTTTTGTTAGTGTTATATTTACATTAGCTTATACAAGTGGACTTATTTATGTATCGTTTTTTATTTTAACTCAAGAAAATATTACATCATCAAGACAAAAAGTTCAACATCGATTTATATCATTTATTGCAATTATTTTTTATTATGTGCCATACTCTATATCATTTTATGTTAATATATTGACATCACAACATTTTCGTCGTGAATTACAAAAGGTTTTACGTTTAAAAAGAGAAAGATGATATAATCATTTTATTCTTATAGCAATAAATTCTTTGTATATATAATGCAGAACTCATTTCCTAAACAATCGAACGCATGATGTGACGTCTGTCAAGTACCTCTATTCGATATCTACAAGTTCAATGGAATCCTTGCCGGATACTGGAAAATTCTTTATCAAGTATTGGATTATACGTTTTCATATTTGGTATTTTGTTTTTGATTAAGGATCTGCAAGTCGACTATGTTTATTTACGAATCCAACAAATGTATTTAATACTTTCAATTTTATGTCTAAGAAGCGAAATTTTTCGATACTTCATATAGACTTTGTGAATATCTGAAACATAGTATATAATAATTTGATTCAATTATATTTTAATCATTGTTTTATTGGTAAACCTATCTTCATAATAAAGGATCATATCCTTCTATGATGGAAATTATCATCATTCCTCAAAAGGTAGCTTTCTATTACTTGCTAGGATTTTTCTAAAATATACCTAGAAAAGCGAGAATTGTTGAAAAACTTTCTTTTTTGGTATTTGAACACATGTCTTTAGTGAATAAATGCCACAAAACACTTCTTTAACTCAAAAAGAGCTTTTTAGGTTGTGAAGCTCCAAAAAACTCGCTGGATTTTAAAAGAATGACTTTGGAGCACTCATGGTCTTCTATTCTGAGGGAGAAGTTACAAAATTTTTCAATTTCTACCATAAATTATTTCGTTTGCTTTTTGTTGCTGTTGTACTTATTGATTTTCGAAGAAAAAAAAACTTTAGTACTTGTGGAGAATGGAAACATGTTGTCTTAATCTTTCAAAAACATTGTTTTGATTTTAGTTCTAACAACAATAATCTTAGTTCTGCAGATTGTCAAGGTGATGCATTCAAATCAACTCTTAAAGAAATACTGATACAATATCATTCATAGAAGGTTAATAGGCATGCGAGAAATAACAGTTCTAAAAGAAGTTTTTGAATTATAAGACTGAAACAAGAATAGCTTTTCAGCGCTAGAGCGCATTGGATTTAAAATTTTTGGATCCGGACCTGCCGAATCATGCTTTGATAATCTTAATGAAATTTTCTAATCGAGATTGAATAATCGCCCTGAGACTAAAAAATGTTCTTGTTTATTCGTCAACTAGCCTACCATAAACATTTTTCAGATGATTACAGCCCATTGGATTCAGCATTTGTAGACCTGAAATCGACTCAACGAGCTCTAGTCAGCGCAATCCCTTTAGAGCTAAAATATGGCACTCATATGCGTTCTTTAGTCTAAATTTTACTAATACCAATTACGTCAAGAGAAAAATTTCTAACAGATTATAATTGTTTTCCAAGGATGATAATCAATTGCTAGGGAAAGAACCTGTCTTATTAATCTTTTTCTTCTTCTGTATTGACGCTCGTTTTTTTTCTTGCTTCAGTGCCCATCGTTGATGACATCTTGAATATAAATTTTCATTTATGCAAAAATTACAAATTGACTACAAACGTATTTGAGTCATTCAAATTTCGAAGAAATCTTTGGAATGTTCCAGAGTTTTCTCGAACATTCTCTTGGCACCTGTGTTCGTTGCTTAGGAACTCGGAGATAGTAGTCTAATGCTTGTTATCCTCGGTTGCTCGAGGACGTATCTCATGATTATTGGGCTTCTCTCTTGTCGTAATCAGAGAAAGCCGTAAAACTTCAACTTAAAACTTACACTCACTATCATTTTCCTACAACAATATAATATGAGTTTTGCATAAAAAAATCTAATTTTGATGCATACGTTCAAAGCAATATTTATACTATTCACGAGTTTAAATCATTCTTGTAGATTTCATATATATTCAAAAAATTATACGAACTATAAAAAAAAGTTGCTTTTATTTTGGAAACGAAATCGGATCTATGAGATCAAGATCAGGACTAATACAAATTATCAAATGAAACCAATGCTAGACAAAAAAAAGGCATTGCAGACACTTAGTCTCTAGCTCTAGATACCTAAGTGAACGATTATTATTGATTATGATAATTTTATTTATTTCTTCTTTTTATCGTTGATTAAATCGTATTTTTAAATCCTCTCTTTAATACAAAGTTTGAAAATGTCTTGGAGATTACTAAATTATGTGAGAAATTATTGTTATTTTGAAACGAACATGTTTGCTAACTACTTGTTCACAAACTACTTATTATTTAGTGTAAATCCCATCTAAAATAAAACGACGAAATATCATAAACAAGAAAAGAATGAATTCATTCTCTTGCTTGAGTAATAGATATTGCTTTTTAATTTATATGAATATTTATGTTCAAAAACAACAAATCTACATAAGAATAATATTTATTTGTCAATGTCACTATCAATCATTTTAAAGTCTTTTTCAATATCTAAAAGATCTGCATTATCATTATCATAATTTTCTTCAATATCATCGTTGTTGTTACGATAGTTTGGTATTTCTTCTTCTTGATCATCTATTTGGTTCTTTGATAATTCATAAGTAGCTCCTTTAACAGCTTCATCATCATCAACTGTTTCACCGACTCGATCTTCACACTGTTGTTCATCTTCTTCAGTACGAATTAAGTCTATGTGATTTGCATAACAACCACTACCACCAATTGCTGCAAATCCAGGAACAGTTGACTAAAAAATAATACACAACAAACAAATCAAGAATCCTCTTTGACGATTATCTTATTTATAGAGATGTAAGTCAATGTATCGTTCGACGGCGACTCAACCGATTGGTTTAAATCTCTATTTGTTAATAGCTTTTATTTTATTTACCGGTGACGAATAACTCCAACCTTCACCAGTTCCCCATTCAGTATCACCATAATCATAACCAGCTTTTTGTAATGGATTTTTTTTCGAATCCATTGCTTGACGTTGTAGATGAGTTCCAATAAGACCTGCTGCTAACGGAAGTTGAACTGTTTCTGTTTTAAGTATTAATGGTTCTGAACTATCATTATCAGCTGAAAATTCAACAAGATTCATAAAGGTTATTTTGTGTTAAACAATGAGAATAACTCACATGGATTAATTTCTGTAATTGTTTCACTATTTTCATCAACCGTTGACGAACCAACCTTAGTCAATTTTTCCATATGTAATTTACGTGATGGTAACTGAACAAGATAAGTCAATATGACAGTAAGGTGGTGGAGATAAGTTTAATGACAATGTATTTTTGATTTTTTTTCTATATTGTCAAGCAATTAACTCACATGCTGCTAGTAAATATCAATAGGTACTCGAGTTGTCTATCTAATGTATCTTATGCTAGATGGACTATAGTGGCAAGGTTTCTGAAAAACTAGACATGGTAATTTTCAGGTTCTAGATGCTGCTTTTGAGTATTGCATTTTAAAGACAATAAAATGACATTATTAAAAATATGCCGTGTTTGGTTTTTTAGAAAAATCGTTATCACAGTTCACTTAGTATAGGATACATTGGATAGAAAACTTCATTGGCTATTAAAACTACTATGTGGGTTTGAACTAATTGCTTAAGGAGATCCTAGCGGTCCGAAATTTCTGAAGAACAGCTCATCCAAATTGTCATAGTCTACAAATTCCCAAATACTTCTGTCTAGGATATACCTCGATCAAAAAGCCTCAATAGCATTCTGCTTTCTCAGAAGCCATAAGTCCGATAGAGTTGAAGTTTTATATTTTATAGATGCTAGACATTGTTTGAGATGTCTATTTTTTTGGCTGCTTTTTTATTCTCTTCCAGTCGAACAAAAAAGATCAAAGTACCAAATATAAGTCCAAAAATCAATGGTGCACTATTTTTCAAACAAAAAAAAACAAAGTAGGCACCCCAAACAGTGTCTAATACTTGTAGCAAAAAGTTTCAGCTCGATTGAACATACTGTGTCGGAGAAACGGGGGAAACTCTGCACTTTCTTTTGTAAAAATGCTGAAGGTCCATGACCCATGCATTTAGTATCTTTAGATATTATGACTAAGAGAATTTTGCATACACAAAATAATTGCAGCACAAGCTTTTCGACTTGACATTTCAGCAGTTGAATTTTATAAAAGTACTAACTAACAGCAAAGAGCCATGGTATTCGGCAGAGGACAATTCGAAGCTGTACTAAAAATTGACAACATGTTGATTCTAACATCTGGAAAAGGAAGAGAATTGCCTTAACATTATAGAAAAAAAAAACGAAAATACGTTGTTGTTAAATTTATTTTTCATCATTCTTTGTTTCAACAAGAATTCGAGAAATCTACTTACTGTTTGAACAATAGCTCTCATCCATGAACTATAAAATAGAATATTATTATCATTAAATTTTCTCAAATACTTATTATCTGAAGAGAATTTTAAAAATATATCTTACTTTAAATCATCTAGATCTTCACATAAAAGCCATACGATGTCGCGATCACGATCTTTTACAGACGCTGGAAAAGCAATAAGTGCTACTTCATCATATATGTTATCAAGATGAGGAAAATCAGGTAAAAATCTAGAATTTTTATTTTCATAATACTGAATAGAAATGGGATACTTTCTTCACTACCTTGTATATGGACCAACACAAATATATCGTTCGACATCCTTATAGAAAAAAAAAACTAATTATTTTAAGATAATATTTTATTGAAGGAAAAAATTACTTTAAGTAAAATCATTCCATCAGGTTTTTTATGTTTAATATCCGAATACCATGTGAGTAAACTTGAATCATAAAGTATAAATTTATATTCTTTCCATTTTTTACTTAATAAACCTCCTATACATATATAATTGAGTAAAGAAGATTGAATTTAACATAAAATTTTAAATGATTATGTTCTTACGATGATAATATTTAAGCATGCCTCGTTTAACTTCACTCATGATTCTTCTGAATTTAATTCAATAGTAATGAAAAAGGTCATTTTCTTTATTGTCTTCCTGGTCAAGCCAATAAGAAAATGCATCTCGAGAATTTTATTTGAAGTGGACAATTGATTTTCGAGGGGGCGCTATTTATCAGTATGATAGAATGATATAGTCCATCTATTTTCATATCATGTCAGTTTTTTAACCAATTCTCCCAATCGATATTTTTTTTCCTTTTTTTTTTAATCATTGTATAATTGAACATATCAGATAATATCTAAATCTGTTTTTTCTTTGTGTATAACAAAAAACAATCCATTGAAATCTCTTCTAATACTATTGCACTAATGAATTAATACAAAGTTACTTTTTTTTATTTATGTGAAATCTCTTTATATAGCATGCAATCAATAGACAAACACTATACGTTTTTATTCGGTATCAACTATGAAAATAATTGATGAAGAAGTAAACTATACGTTTCATTACAATGGTTTATTAAATGAATTTTGTTTTTAGTCATGTTCATTCGTAAGTCTCATGGCAGATTGAATCATGTAGGGTAGCATAAGAATAGTCCTCTGTGTCATCATCATGTATACTTAAGATGTTGTCTTATAAATCATCAGATATCTTAATGCTTCGATTATATTCAGTGTTTTTTAACTTAAGCCATGGCTACGAGCAAAACGATCGTATTTATGAACTTATTTTAATGATCCAGAACGAAAAATTTATCATGATCTTTATGTATGATTTAATCAAATTACAAAGCTTATTGATTGACAACGTCATCTATGATCGGTTGTTAGTCAAACAAGGACAATAAGTAGTAATAATGAAAGATCAAATCAACAATGATCACAATAAAATGTTTTGTAATATTCTTTCACATAAATATATTTTCTTTTTTATCATTATTCATATTTGTTATTTATGTTAGTAAACACAATTTTTATGTATTAATAGACTCGAATGTATTTTGCATGGTTATTTGATACAGATGATCAATCAAAATTTTTGCAAAAATCATATGAACTCTACCGAGACGACATTTAGGACTAGTATTGGTTATTTACTTGAGATGCATACGGATTCCAATTGATAAAATGAACATAATATACAAATTTGTTACTAGTTTATTATGAACATGCGAAGACCTCATTATATGAAGAACAAACAGAGAAGCAGCTAGCTTGAAGTCTATTGTTCTAGCCGTTTCTCATAGTCTTATTGATTCTTGGTTTTCAAGAAGTTTGAAATCATATATGACCATCCAATATACCAGAGATGCAGAATCTATCACTAAAATGAAAAATTTCTCGGAACAGCAATATTTTCAGGAAAAATTTCTCTAACTATAAAATTCCAGAAGAGATTCTTCTGGAAGATTGTCAAATTATTTTCTGAGAGAGAAAAGTATCGGATACCATATAAAAATGATGCAATTTCATATTTTATTTTCGAAGCATTTAACAATTATTTATAATTGTGGTTTTTATGCCACTAACTAGAGTATTTAATTTTCTACAAAATTGTCTACAGTGTGCTACCTAATGAACATTAGGAAAAAAATTGAAAACGTATTTTTGCAAGATTCTAACAATACTACATATACTTCGAACTGCAGAATATTCCATGACGTTAAAACTTTTGCCTGAAAATTCCAATAGAGCGGAAGCTCAACTCATTAAAGATTAGCCTGAAAATAGTACCATCTATGCAATTCACTTTTATTTACAGAATTCATTGAAGTAGCTACCGAAAACAATATATACTATAAATGTGCACAATGTCAGCTACCGATTATTAAAAATAAGTGTTCAATTATCAATGATCTTTCTTGAGAATAGAATTTTCTTTTTTCTCCTTTCTGATTTTCCATGCGATTCTATAAGTAAAATGAGCGCTCCTTTACACCTTAATTTGAATTGATTCAAGCTTTTCCAGAACGTTCTCTCATATTTTGTCTATCACTACAACTATCATAAATGTTCTTGAATCCTACATGGGAGGCTTTTGAAAAACCCATGGTTTTCAGGTATTTCCTAATTTTCTTGCCTCAGAAACGTTTTTATTCAATATAAAAATCATATTCAGAATCAACATGAGAAACTGCATCAGACCATATACGATACAATCATATTTATAGAGAAATTTTTTTTTCAGATTTTTTCACCATGAGATCTCTCTCAACTGAATTTTGTGAAAAAATTAATTTTTTCGAAAAAGACTATTTCTACTTATGTGCGTTCACTAGACTTAGAGGTAACAATCGTAGAGACGAAACAAGTCTTCATTGGCAAAAAACAATGTCACATCCATATGATAAGCCACAATTGTCTACTGTGCTGTCTGTTGACTTTGTTTTTCGACTAGATTTTTCGCGTCAGAGTAAATTCAGCGAGATTAGCATCTCATCCATCGTACAAGTGTGAAAATCAAAAAAGAGAAAAAACCTATAGAGAACTTTTAGAATCGGATTTACTGAAATTTGTATTATGCTACAATATTCTTCACGAAGTTCTTCAATTTTAGGTGTAACTTTCAAAGTGTCAGAACAAATATTTGAGAGAAAAATTTTCGAAATAGGAAATATCGAAATACCGGGAAAAGCTGGTTCCGGACAAATCTTTACTATTATTTTCGATTGATTTAGAGTAGCCTATATCTTTTAACTGTTTAAATGAACACATGCACTATGATATTCAGAATTTAATTGTGCATCCGATAGTACGAGAATCAGCATTTCATAGGATGAGTCTGACTTGTGATTAGATAATTTTTCATAATGCACTCAAAAGTACCTCTAGATGCTAGTTCGCAACTTTTCTCATACTGAATAAAACACTCAAAACCATGCTAAGATCATGATCATATAGAGCGAAAAATTCTCCATGTTTTTTTTTACACAATGCTTAGATTTTGGAATGGGCTTAGATGAGCACACAGTGACACACATCGTTTTTTATGCGTAGAAAAACAAGAATTTGCAGTTTAATAGTTCGATAGGTTTTCATTTCACAAAGTTTATTCCTACATGAAAAATCTATACGAAAAACAAACTTAACAGTTGTGTAGAGAAGCAAATTCTTTATCCAGCTGGATCATAGCTCAAATTCGAAGAAGTGTTGAGTTCCTGAAAGATAGAAAATAAATCTGCGACATGTGCTATAGAACACCCGTTAGTTTTCAAAACTTTTCTCCAGACATTAATAGGTCTCCTGAAATTTCCCTGAACGGTCGTTCGTGTATGTGAGTAGATTCTGCACCTCTGCTTTAGATTCTACGTAAATATTCAAAACTTTGTCGATTCTTTAGAAATGTGATGTTATTGAACAACCTTCATTACATGAATGACTGAATGTCCAGTCTGAATTTATTCGTTCTCTCTTTCTTTCTTTCTCTGACTTTGTTTTTTAATTATGCTGATGACACGGTAATTGGCGGTAGAAGATTCCAACCATCGTATGTATTTTGTCGATATCCTATAATTGTTATATAGACACACGATAACGATCGATTCATATGATATAAGCGATACCAGTGTTCTTAATTTAATAAAAGGAGTATATTTTATTCATATAAAGAAAAACACAGGGAGCTCATTTTCATGGAAATAATTAAAGTATTGTATGGCTCGAAGCTGTTATTTATTATATATAATAATATTCTAGGACAATTTTTTTCTTCGCTCTCGAGCTATTCGTTGTATTCTTTTTTCTTTATGCTTCTCTATTGAATTTATAGATATTTTTCGACCTTATTACTTTATCAGTTTTTTGATTTAGTCATTTTTGTTTCTATTAAACTAATTCAATTAACTGTATCTATTATGGTTCTCGAACAAATTAAAATGGTTGCTGTTACACATTCTCAGGAAACGTTCACAAGGATGATTAAAACAATGGAAAAAGATCTAAAGTGTGAGCTTATGTCAAACAAGTGCATGTAAGAAGCAATCAGAGGAAAAAAATTGGTTGTTTATGTGAAAAAACAATCGAATTAATTAATAATATCAGCAGTGGTATGAGATGTACATTGTTTTACGCGTCTCGGCAAGTCAGGATTGAAGAAATTTCTACAATTTACACTACCTCGTAAAAATGCTCTACAGGTGTATAGACTCCTTTATTCAACTTTTCACATTAGTTCGCTTATTGACCGAACCATCTAGCAAGAGTTTTTTAAAATGTATTCTCTCAGTTTCGAAGATATAACATGTGACGCATTTTGTATAATCATTATTTAACTTGTCCTTGATTCTTTTCTACCAAAACACTTTAGAAAATAATTATCACACGAGGGTTGTGCTAGTATTTTTTTCTGGAAAAGTGGCATTTTTTGTCACTGAGCTCGATTGAGCTTAAACTGTTCGAGTTTGGTACATGCCTAATTATTATATTTTGCAATTCTTTCTCAGACACAACTCTAATTACGGCAGCTATAAATTTTACCTGTATTATTTGCACAAACGATCTGTTTTTTTCTAATGTTTATTTTATTTTCTTCATAATAAGGTCTCATGAACCAGCAGAACGTGAACTTGCAGCTGTTCCAACAATTCGCAAAACCAGACATGAATTATTGAATCACAATCTACATCACGTTTGGTAAGTACTGCAGCTTTTAAAGGCCCTATATGTACCGAAAAACTCCGCACATATTAAACATCTTCTTTTATTAGAATCATCTGCTGACTTTACTTCACCACTTTATTACTGTTCGAAATATAACGAAAAGTGTTATGGTGAAATATATTGTTCCAACACTAGTTGCGCAGAAACTGAAGAACTCGATAAACTTCACGCGTATTTGTTGACGTGCCTTTACAACCTCAAATACGTTATGTGTTATCCCGTATTCAGCCATGTCATTTTCAACAACAATCTAGGAGCATATTAAATCATTCTTGAGATATTTCTGAAGCTGGAATATGAAACGATCGTCGAAGGGAGAATTTACTGATTTCATCCCTTTACTTATGAATGTTGATGTCACTGAAATAGAAAAAAGCTCCAAGTCTTGGCTATGATTAATCACGTTCGTCATGATCGAATTGAAAACATTGGAAAGATTTACAATACAAAACGTATCGGCTGATGGGGTTGTGTCTGGGAACATGAAGCAAAAACAAGAAGAAATGACTTTAGATTTGCAGACAGTTGCTGATGAGTTTTCAAATTTAGAAAGCTGACATTGTTTTGAAATTAATAAGGACGCTTCTATGTTTCTTAAGGGTTTTCCTATTGTCATGTTACTGTGATAAACCTACATAATCGACCACTCAAAATATTTCTAAACCAAATAGGGCTTTTTGTCGTGGAAAGTGTTCTATCAAGGGTAAAAGACTGATTTCTTCATTTGCCAAAATCAGAACCTGTTGAGAATCATGTAAAAAAAAGAGATATTAAGAAACTGTATCTTTTATAAGTAAAAACTAGTTGATGAAAAGCAAGTGCAAGTAACAAAAGATGAGAAACTAATTAATGAAGTGGCTTTAAGAATTCATAAGAGAATTTTTCAAAATCTTTGCAGCTTATTTCGTGATGTGCTATTGATTTTAGCATTTGACTTTTAAGATAAATGTTTCCAACAATTAGACGGAGAAATTGAGGAATATTTGGTTTTCGTTCTTATTTGTGCGATTATTCTATTTTGCTGATCTTTGTTGTGTTTTTCAAATTAGATGCGAATTTTTTCCGTTCGGAAAGACGCCGAGTAATCAAAACCTAGGACAAGTTTTACTTATTATTTTAACAAGGTTATACCAGATAGGTTTCGACCTAAAACTAAACTGTCATCGGATTTTTATATATGAATGTATGGATGAATGTTGCATAAGAGACTAGCGTTACTTTGATGTTGTTAGATTCTATTTGTGCTATAAATAAATATGAACTGATCCTAGCCTCTATTTTATCGATAGTGAGTTCATAAGATCTTTAGAATTATTTATTATTATGTATTCTATGTTGTTCAAACTGCCCGAAAATCGTGATTCTGCGACGGAGTTTTCTTAATCTCTCTCAGTACATGAACTTTTTTTAACTCTTAAAAAAGTGTTAAATTTCATTCAAATCGTGGCATGTTGTTATTGTTGTTGCTTAGTTTTCGAGTTTGCCACCAAGTGCAGTAACTGACTTCTAGGTTTTTCACCAGCTTAACTGCTATGACAAATTTTTCTTCTTCTTCTCGACGCATTAGTCACGATTCGAATCAATCATTCGTTCTTCACATTTAGTCAACATTTCAAAACAAGAAAATGTTTGTTAAGATAACGAGGATGTATCAAGTGTACATCTGAAATTCATTTTGCATAAGCTCAAGATTACATTCGGTAGGTGTGAAAATGCTGAAAAGTATGATTAACAGCTGAGAATTTTCTGATATGCAAATATATAAATTAATTTGAAAAAGATCATTGATAGTTCACCAGTTGTATGCAATAGTTTCCTTAGATGGTAATAGTTGGTTCAGATTCATTAACCCTTAACTTATCAGCGAAGCTAAGATAGCTGAATAAGACTGAAACTCTTTATATGATTTCATCTACACAAGTCATAGACTTAAAAATAGCTGACGGATATAGGATCGCTTTCTAACATTTTTCAGACTCATATAATCAGCCCTCTTTTCTAGTATGGCTTTTCTCGAATGACAGCTGGTTACTTGCGTGATCTTTTTTCTGTTATTTATTTGAATATTGAGATATTTGTAAGAAATACAAAAAATTAAAGTATAGGACACGTTTCCATACAAAAACAAAAACGATCCTGAACGATTCGGTTGTTTCGGAATTCTGGAGTCTCGCGCAGCACTATTATAAAGCCCTTGTAGTCTTTCATTTCTAATTAACGTTGCGTGTTATCTTTTTCTTCTAAAAACCGGACTGTAATCAAATTGATTATCGTATGTTAAAAAGTCTACCTAGAATAGTTTTAGAACATGTAGTTGGCTTTAATAAAAACCATACTTGGTTAAATGAAAAGTTTTAAAAATCAAAAACTTATGAGAAATATTTATTTTGGTCAATTCTAAGTGATAACTGTTTACTGATTTTTTTTCCTATAAAGCCCACGAAGCGACATCACTAAAAACAACACCTTTCTGTGCTATTGACATTGCCTTACAACATATTCCTATTTGTTTTGCTCAATGTTATATTTCAACTGCGGTTACAGAAATGAATAGAACGACTGTGGTTCACTTGAACTCTCACATAATCTTTTACATCCAATTTTCAGATACACTCAAAAACTATCTATAAAACATTTGTCTTATTGCTTTGTTCATATACAAACATATGACAGTAGCACTGAATATCTCATTTCAAATATTTCTTACAGTATTGAAAGTAATCATAAATCTGCTAAATATCAAACAATATTTGAAAGATCACTTCGACAATTCAAACTTTTAAAGTAAAATATTAGTAAAGATATATGGTGATATTTATGTTTAAGAAAAATATATATAAATATTATTGTTATATAAAAATAGTTATTACAGATATTTTTCTTATTTATAAATCAAGATTATGCATTAAAAAAAAAGCAAAAACTAGTTTTTCTATCGTTTCCCTTTTTATTTTATTGATTCCGTACTTTTTTCTCTTGATATTCGTTCTACAGCAACACCAAATTTTATGTTTCGTTTATCTTGATCTTTCTTTTCGTTTCCTGTCGGTCTCGAAATCGATTCAAATGAAACAATATTCCTTGCCAATTTCAATTTGATTTTTTCTCTTTGAATACGTTCTACCCGAACAGATGATAATTGTGACGTTGTTTTGTGTTCCGAAACACTATTTAAGGAGAATAACTTGATTGTTTCAATTTGTGAAGGACGATGTTCATATACTGATGTTCGATGAGTTGATCGAATAGGTTTTACATGAATTTTGTCTTTGTTTTTCTTTAATAAACCAATTGAAGTTCGAGTTTTCACATTTTCATCTAATCGACTTGTATTTTCAATAATTGGTGGACGATCAATTTGTACTGATATTGAATCTACTTCTGTTAATCGGGAAGGTACATGAGTAACTCGAATAACATTCATCGAATCAACAACGGAATTTGTTTCATGCTGTTGTACTGATTTATTTTTCAGTGTATCTAGTCTTTTCTTTGTTGATGACTTTATTCGAGATACTTGTACAGTTGCACCATTGATCGGTCGTTGAACAGATGAATCAGCATTTTCATCAAATCTTCGAATCGGAGATTGAATACCTAGATTCAATATACTGTGCATTTTGTTTACTTTCTTAACTTTTGTTACAGATACATGATTAAAACCGACTGGTTTTAATCTAGTATTATTATTATTCATTGATAAAAAATTCTTAGCATGAACATCAATCATGGATAGATGATTTTTATCTTCACTTGAACACGATGTAGTAGGTGTAAGTAACTTAAATAATTTTATATCATCATTTGTAGACTTTTTTGAATTTTCATTGAAAAGCCCATCAACAAGATATTTTTTTGCGTTATTTGAAAGTATGCTGTTGGATGGAATTGATGCGCATGTCCATTGACATTCTCGATCAGTACATCGATCAATATGATATAATTCAAATGGACCATTTTCTTCATAGATTACCCAACTTGTCGGTATACTAAAAAAAACAAGAAACTGAACGAAAAAGGATTACATATAGTTGTTTAGAACAGACCAGCAATAGTGCCAACATAAAAAAATACAAAATATACACATACTAAGAACAATTAAACCAATAATGCTTCCAATTAGTGGCCAACTAATGGGATCGGCTATTCAAAAAGAAACAAAAGCTGTTAGTGCTATTCTTGCAAAATTAAACTGTGGAACAAGATGTAGTTGCTCGTGTTTATCATAATAAGATTGTTTTAATCTTTATATTTCGACACACATTGTTTCAACATCATCGTACTCAATCCTGAAGAAATGCAATAAGGGAGTACCATTTACGCAAGAATGCAAGGCACTCGGACGTTTTTAGAATAGCTTTCCTTAGAAACAAGATAGAGATCTTCGATTTCCGACGTATAACAGTCACGAATCCAAGGGAATAATTTCATAAGTAAGATGTTTTATGAGAAAGTATCAGAAAAACAAGTTTATCAAGCTATTTTTAGAGAACCACGATAGATTATTGAAAACTGCTATAGGAATCGATTGACTTTTTACGTAGGTAGATAACGCCGAGTGTCCTCTACAAAACAAAATCTGTAGAAATGTTTTGTCTTGCGAGATTTAGAAGTATCAAACAATTTTCTCGAAGTCCGAAGACTCTTCTCTCTAGATAAGGTACTATTTTAAGGAATGAAAATATAGATTATCGATTATGCTGAACACCGTGTCACTATTGTTTTTTATTTTAGAATAACATATTTTTATTAATTATATCTAAGTCTAATTAGTAAACAATATTTTCATATAAAAATGATCCTATGACGAATGTAGATGTGAGGTAAGCATGGGATGTGAATATGAGTCATCACTTTGTATACGCTCACACAAACACTAATGATTGAACTTTTTCTTTTATGAAGAAATTTTTTTTTTTCATATTTTGTATTGGTTTCAAGCAAGAAGAGTACATAAGTGGTCAATAGAGTATTTGTTTATAGGGAAACATCATATGCTACTTATAGTAATGTATGACTAATAAAAATATGTCGTTCTCAACAGAAAATAAATACTGCCACGACACTCAGCATAGTCGATAACCTATGCTTTCATGTCTTAATCATAACTCCATATCTAAAGAAAAAAGTAGTCCTCAGACTTCGAGAAAAACGCTTTTGCACTTCTGAACTTTGCAAAGTAAAATACTTGTACAGATCTAGTTTTCTAAGAGACATTCTATGCTATATAATCAAGTAAAAACTAATAGACTCTTATGGTAGTTTTCAAAAAACTAATGCACTTTTCCAAAAATGCTTTGAAAAATTGATCTTCGAATATTTTCTTAGCAAAGATTATGGGTATGAAATTATATGCTTGGATCTTGGCAATCATAGATGGAAAACCACAGGTCTCTATCTTGTTTCTGTGGAAATTTATTCTAAAAAAGTATCTGGGACGGTGTATGACAAAGAAGAAAAGTTGCTAGGTACCTGTCATATCTACAATGAGTGTTGCTAACACAAAGATTATGTCTGTAATGAGCCGCTTCTATTCTGTCTTCCATACGATTCGTGTGAAGGGATAAGTCGAAATTTTCTATTCTACGCACTTTAACACTCCTGTTGGGTCGTATCTCAGAACTAATCGATTTTTATATTTGAAGTAAAGAAAACTTCAGCCATACGTCTTTTTGTTGTTGTGGTCATTGTAGTAGTCGTCGTCCTATTTACAATATATAGTTCATAAATTTGAATAGCATAGATATCAACAAATTCTTACGAAGTACTTGTAGTTGATGTTGTCGATCTATAAATCAAATAAAATAAAATTCAAAAGCTAGTTAATCTAATGATAAAATACGTAGAAGTTGTTGATGTAGTTGATGTTGTTGATCTATAGAATTTTTTATTTTTTATTTTTATTCACTCAAAAAACCAACGACTCACGTTGTCGAAGTTGTAGTAGTAGTTGAACTATAATAAAAAGCAGTACATAATTGTTTTTTGCTTGGAAGCTAAGAATACATACGTTGATGTTGTAGATGTTGTAGTTGATGTTGTTGTTCTATAGAATTAATTACTTTTCTTCTTAAATAAAACAAAAGGATCAACTACTCACGTTGTTGAAGTTGTACTTGTAGTTGATCTATAATAAAAAGTATCATCTAATGGGGTTTTTATTTCAAGTAGCAAGACGTACGTGGATGTGGTATATGTTGTA